TAGCACACAGGTGGTGATAATCGTGTCAGGGCGAAAGTGAAGGCGTGTGTATCTATGAAATATGTACATACATATGTATGTATTGCATCATCCGGATAAAGTAAGCAGATAAATAAAGACGGCTCATATGCTTTGTTATATCTCTGTATCTCAATTTAGCAGTTTAGCAGCGGCAAAGATTGTAAGCATCCTTGATTAGCTTGTAGTATTATGTCGTTATGGGTATTACCCGAAATTTAAAGTTAATAACACCTCGCTCTTAACAGCCGACTACTAAAACATAAATTTGAATATGTTTGAGACGTATGGCGCAAAACATTGAATGCTCGGCTTTAACCCCCTCTCTCTTTTTACCCTCCAAGGCAGTGTGTAGTAGTAGTATATTTATTTTATTATATTATATTATATGCAAAGTTTTCAAAATGGGTTTTATATGTAAGAGCAAGATTTAAAATATAAAGGCAGAGTGTGTTGTATTTAAAAAAAATTGTTAAATCACTAAGGGTCAGCACGCTAATTACCGATTTAAAACAAAAAAAAAAATACCTTAACAAAAATATAATACAACACATTTTACAACAAGTCCCCAGCATTCTGGCTTGGTGAACTAACCTGTCCGTTACGTTCAAGTACATCGGGGCTATGACTTTATAGTTTGCCTATAAGCGATTTAATACATAACCATTAGTCTCTTAATAAAGATTTATGTATTGGCATGTGGAACGGTTAACCACAGAGTCTATATTTTCTAAAATTAGAATTCCACACCAAACATTTCAGGTTTTTAGCGCTCTATTTAGCTATAAGTTCTATAAAATATCGACGAGAGTGCTGAAAAGCATGTTGTATTGGATCCCACATTTTGAATTTTTGAAAACTGATTTTAGGTTTGTAATCAGCGACTCAAAGAACCTTGGGGTATTAAATTTCATAAAAATCTGAAATCTTTTTAAATCCATCAGCTATTTTGAATTTATGAAAACTTATTTCAGTATTGTCATCAATGACTCAGAGAACCTTTGGATATGAAGTTTCACAAACATCTGAAAATTTGTCAAAAATCCATCCGCCATTTTAAATTTTTGAAAACTGATTTCAGTTTCGTAATCAGCGACTCAAAGAATCTTGTACTATTGAATTTCATATATATCTGATTTTTTTTTAATCCACCCGCCATTTTGAATTTTTGAAAACTGATTTCAGTTTTGTAATCAGCGACTCAAATAACCTTTGGATATTAAATTTTCCCCATATTTCGATACATGTACTCTACTTAAAAGTTATGGCAAATTTCCGGTCGGCTTTAGTCAAGCCCTGGTCAAAGCAACCGCAAAAAATATAGAAAAATGTTTTTTTTTTTTTTAACAGCGATCGCCCCTCGTCAAGCAATGGCAAACTTCTGAGTGTATGTATTTCTGCCATGATAAACAGCTTCTCATAAAAATACAATCACCATCCGAAGTCGGCGTAAAACTGTGAAACAACACATCAAAGGCGCACGCCACAAATCGGGAGAGAAGCTCGGCCAAACACTAACACATTGTGTAGGCGCCAATCTGTTATTATGTATGTAGTGCTAAAGCAGAGCTAAACGTCCAATGTAGCCAAAGAATGCAGAAGGATCATCAACCTACTAGCATCTAAAGGCTCCTTGACTGTTATAAGGGCTGATGAGCTGGCAAAGTGAGGAATGGAAATATCCGGAGTAAAATATTAGGCGGGTAAAATATATGGCGGACCCTTGCACGGTGGCAGCCACTCTAATCTAGCCTAACTTTAACCGAACACTTGCTTGGGTTCAATTTTGTCAGTGCCTATATCCAGGTAATACTGTAGATTTTCTTTGCTAGTTAGTGCGTATGGATGTCAGGTCTCACAGTGGGCTGTGCGAATTTTTGGCATGCTGTGCGTAAAGTAATGCTATCAGCCAAGAAAATTCACAACAAGAATTTCTTCTGCGCTATTCAGTCAATCATTCCATCAACGAGGGGAATACAATTATACCTACCTATATATATTTACATATTACATTATTTATACAACTTAATTAAGTGTGTTCCTTAGACTGTACAAGAAAAAAACTTCGCTAAGGTATTTTTCAAGGCAATTTGGAATTTTTTTTTTTGCCGAACGTAGGGTCGCTGTTTTTACGTTTTTCCACATATATTCAGCATTAACAGTCGAATCCTAAAGTAAAACCATCGATGTGTGCATTTTTTATTCCAAAGTTCATTGACCTCAAATACCCCGTTCTAGTACTTACGCACCAGACCTCAGCTCTTATCGCCCTAAAGTACCACCCTAATTTCATTAACTTAAAGTTCGTCAAACATCATTCAACTTTTGCTAAGGAGATATTTTGATTATTCCAGTAGAACTATTCGTCTTAGTCTGCAGGCTGTATCGGAGATACAGCCGCTAAATTTAAACGTAGAATTTGTGGTATGGTTAAGAGCATATCCAAGACAAAAACAAAAGCACACACTAAGAAAAAAATATCGATAACAAAAGCGATAATAATATCAATAGCAAAATCGATAAAACCATCGATAAAAAATCAAAGAAAATATCGATATCAAAATCGATAATAATATCGATAGCAAAATCGATAAATAAATCGATTGAAAATCTATAAAAAAATCGATTACAAAATCGATAAAAATATCGATAACAAAAGCAATAACAATATCGATAAAAATATCAACAACACACAAGCGATAACAATGTCGATAGCAAAATCGATAAAAATATCGGTAACAAAACCGATAAAAATATTGATGACAAAATCGAGAAAAATATCGACAACAAAATCGATAAATATATCTATAGCAAAATCGATAAATAATCGATAATAAAATCGATAAAAAATCGATCACAAAATCAATAAAAATATCGATAAAAAAATCAATAAAACATCGATAAAAATATCGATCATTCCTCAAGTTCCGAAAATATCGATAGCAAAATCAATAACAATATCGATACAAATTTCGATAACAAAATATAACAAAATATCGATTATTATATCGATAAGTCGCGAGAATCCCGAAAATCTCTAAAATCCCGAAATAGTTCCCAGATTGAGTCTCTGTGCTTCTATCTATATTCTTTTCTCTTAAGCTACCTTTTATTTTAATCTTTCTTCCTCTATCTTCATCTATACTTTTATCGGTATCCTCATCCTCATCTCTTTCTTAATATTTATCTTAGTTTTTTATTTTTATGTTTATCACATTTTTCATATACATGTTCCGCTTCACCTTTGCCTTTTATAAATATTGCGCCATCTGTTATTCAAAAGCCGAAATACCTACACACACACATACTCTTCGTCGCCTTCTCTTACTTCCAACGCATGCACGTGTTTGCAAAACGATGACGAAGTGATTTTGTAAGGGAAATCATTCAAGCCCATATATTTGAATCAAATAAACATACTTAGAAGATATCAACCAATACTTCCCATATACCAAACGAAAGGAAAACTGAATTTTTGATTAAAGAAAACAAAAACAAAATCATTTGAGCGGTTTACAAGAATTTTGGTAATTTTTTTAACAATTTTTTGCCTTAAAATGCTCAACATTGGTTGAATTTGTATAAAATCTGTACACGATAATATTTCTATTGCTCCAAAGAATCTATGTATATCCCGAAAATGAAAGTTATATCTGCAAATCATAAGCTGCTGGAGCACTTTAAAGGATCAAATATGACCCCAAAATAAGCCAATGTTTAACGTTCTTTTTACGACAGAAACCGAATTGGTTACTTACAAAAATGAATCTGTCGATAGGTCTGGAATTTTATCTTTGAAACGCCACACTTTTCTTTCAAATCGCTTCATTAGTTCTCGTGCAATAAGCGTTTTCGTGAAGCTCTAAAAATTACAACTACAACATTTCAGCATAGCCTCCATATCGAAACGTAAGACGTGTTCTACGTCAAAAATTTACAACCGAGTGTCACCGAAAAATATAGAAAGCCAAAAAAAAAATCGAAACTGCTTGCAAAAATACTTTAAACTCAGGTGTGCAGGGCAAATGTTTTTGATTGCTTGTGCATCATTGTCATGTGCTCGTGTCTGTCAGTTAGTATGTTTGTGTTCGTCTGGTTTATTTCATTACTTATTTGATTCGTAAACGGCGCATTGCAAAAGGAGCAGTCACGTACATACCTATACATATATGTACTATTTATGTACATATGTATGTATATGCACCTAAGTGTACACCTAAGTACAAGAACAACAATATTTTTACATTTGACGAGCACTCATTTTATTCCCATTTTCTTGACATGCTGTGACAAAGTTCAAACATCCTTTCTCAGTTCACATTCACATACATAAAAGTCTTTGAGAAATGCGAACGTTAAAAAAAAAAAAGTTTTATGAAAGGCAAAGAAAAGTTTGGATAAAATAATAGAATGAGTATTCACTAAAAATATGCAAGGTTGAAATGACAGCACGGGAAGTGGTAGAAATAGAAGAACTATGTAAAAAAAAGAAAAAAAAAAACGGCGCAAACAAAGATAACAAGTCGTAAAAATAAAACATCGAATGCTAAAAGTATTCAATACATTCCATTGAGTATTGTTCTATTGAAAGACAACAAAAACCAACAGAAATCAAAAACACAAAACAAAACTAGGAAAAAAGTGAAAGCTATGCAGCTATACATACAGGGTGTCAAGCTAGCAAAGTACCAAACTAATGCGTCGAGCGGTGGTGTTGCTGGTTTCGGGGGCAGGCGCCGGATGACGCGCTGTGCGGGACATGCGTACTAAAACGGTGAATTTACTGCGCTGCGAAGTAGGCAGCGAACTGATGAGCGCCCCGCCAACACACACACACTCAGTCAGCCAGCAAGCAAGCCTGCATGGGTAGGTAGAGGTAGCCAGCAAGGCGAACGAACCAGCAAGCAGCAGCAGCAGCAGCAGCAGCGGCAGCTAGTTAGGCCAAAGCGGACAGGTTAAAGCGTCGTAGTGCTTCTCCAACGTTGTCAGTCGTCGGTGATAGCAGAGAAGCACAAATGTCGAACTGTTGTGCGTTCTTGCAGCGCGGATAGTAACGCGATTTTGGCATTTTCTTTATTATTCGCCAAGCTTTGGGTGGCGTGTGCGTATGAGTAATATTGAGGGAAATAGTAAAAAAAAAAAAAAATTCCAAATCACTGCGTCGAACATTTGTTAGAGATTTTTTCTCTTTGTTTTTTTTTTTTTTTGTGTTTTGCGTGAATACTTCAACACGATTAATTTGGGTACTCCTAGTCGTGTGTATGTATAGCGGATTGCCTTTGGCTCGGTTTTTTTTTTGCTTAAAATTCAACAAAAGTTTGTGTATCGACGCGCGGGAAACAAGCACTTGCGAACTGTATGTGTACAGCTAAATGAGTTTTTAAAAGGCGGAGAAGTATGCAGCCAACTGGTTGTGATTTGCGTTCTATAGTTCGGTGTGTGTGTGTGTGTGTGCTTAATTCCAATGTATAACATGCAAAAACAGCAGAAATTTAAATGGTTCACAGCTTGTTGAAAAGTGCTCTGAAATGAAAATGACTTTAGTCTTTAAAAACAAAAAATAAATATAAAATAAAATGAATAAATACACATACATACATACCTACAAAACATCTGAAAAGATCACAACCTCTATAAATAGATAAATCAATTACTGTACAGCTAAATAATTTGATGTTGATGAATTGTGTTTGACTTTTAGTGAGGAAAACACACACACACACATACATAAGCTAAATATATACATACATATGTACCTATATTTCTATATCCATTCTTAGTTGAGTGTAAAAACCATTGGTTTCATCAGGTCATTCACAAAACCTAAAGGCAATTTTTAATGCAGACGGTGCCCATAAATAGCCAAAGTTTAACTAACTACGAGTATAATGCGTTTAAGTAAAATGCAAAGTCTAGCTTGCAGTAAGAGTGGGGACACGTATTTTTTTGTTCGATTGTTTATTTATCAGAGCCCGTTTAGAGTATGCATTTTATTATTTTGTGCTAACCGGTTACTTTTTGCTGTTCCTGTCCAAGCCAAAAATAAATGAAAAGAAGTGCCTACTATTTTTGAGCAGAAAATATGTAACCGGTGATTATTTTATTAAAATTTGTAGACATTCTTAAAAAGGATTTAAATGTCGTACTTTTGGATCTGCAAGATCCCGAAAATCCCCAAAAAATGCTAAAACCCCGAAAGTTTCCTAAAAACATCACGAAACCCTGTCACGAAAAGTTTCGGAAAACCCTTGAAAAGTAAAACACAAGACTTCCCGAAAAGTCTTGAAAAAATTCTGATCGATCTAGAGAGAAAATTAAAAGGTTTCGAAAAAAATCCGAAAAATAAAATACGGAATGTCCCCAAAAATCTCGAAAACCGCCACAAATTTTCGGAAAAAATTAAGAAAAGTCTCGAAAAAATTCTGAACGATCCAGCAAAAATCCCGGGAAAGTCTTGAAAGTTCACAAAACCCCGAAAAACAAATCACTGAGTGTCCCGAAAAGTCCTGAAAAAACCCCGAAAAGTAAGACACAAATTATCTCGAAAAACCTTAGACGATCCCGAGAAAATATTGAAAAATAATCCTAGGCGGACCCGTCAAAATATCGAAAAATTGCCTACGAAATATCCCAAAAAAATTCGAAAAAATCCGAAAGCTTCCAAATAAATCCCGAAAAGGGAAATATTAAAAATCACGATAAGTCCTGAAAAAAGTCTAAAGCTTCCCGAAAAATGTTTAAGTCTCAAAACAATAAAAAAAAATATTTCGAAAAAGCACGGCGTCTAGAGAAAAAATTAAAGTTTCAAAAAAAGACTCGACACAAATCCGAAAAATAAAATACGCAATGTCCCCAAAAATCTCGAAAACCGCCACAAAATTTCCGAAAAAATTCAGAAAAGTTCTGAACGATCCAGTAAAAATCCCGAAAAAGTCTTCAAGGTTCACAAAATCCTGAAAAACAAATCACGGAGTGTCTCGAAAGTCCTGAAAAAACCCCGAAAAGTAAAACACGAAAAATCTCGAAAAACCTTAAACGATCCGAGAAAATATTGCAAAATAAACTATGAAATATCCCAAAAAATTTCAAAAAATCCGAAAGCTTCCAAATAAATTCCGAAAAAATCCCGAAAAGTAAAGTACTCAAAATCACGAAAAGTCCCGAAAAAATTCTAAAGCTTTCCACAAAAATTTTTAAAAGTCTCAAAAAATACAAAATATATTTTAAAAAAAGCACGGTGCTCCGAAAAGCCCAGAAAAGTGCCAAAAACACCTAAACGGTCCCGGAAAAACTTCGCCAAGATATTGAAAAGTCTAAAAAAAAGATTTCCAGAAAAATCTCGAAAAACAAAACATGGAGTGTCGCGAAAACTCCTCAAGAACTTTCCCCCAAAAAAAACACTCAAATTAAAACACAAAGTATCTCACAAATATTGTAAACAAACCCGAAAAAAAAACAATCGAGAAAATCTTGAAAAAGTCTCAAAAGAAGACCCGAAAAAAAACCCAAAACACGGAGTGTCCCGAAAAGTCGAGAAAACCTTTAAAAGTCTCGAAAAAATCCAAAAAAAAACGGGCATAATCGGGAAAGTTCCGAAAAGATTGCGAAAAAATCTAAAAGTTTCGAAAAGTAAAAGCCGAAAATCTCGAAAAAATTTATGCAACATTGTGAATAGCAGACCTTCGTCAATTTTACCTCTGACAATTTTTGGGTCTCAGTTTAACTAAGCCTGGGCAATGGCGGATGAAGTGTTCGACGTTCTCAATTTCCTCGTTCTCCCCACAGCCTAAGCTAGCTAATTTTGGCCACATTACAATTCAATTTTGAGTCTAATAATAATAATAATAGTTGATTGGCGCTTACACATATTTTAGTGTTTGGCCGATCTTCTCCTCCTATTTGTGGCGGGCGCCTTAATGTAGTCACACAGCGGAATCTATAAGTATAACTAAACCAGTAAAACAATGGTACTTTCTTCCAGAACTCGCTATTTCGGTTTAAGAAAAAATATTCGATTTAGAGAATTCTGTAATTAGCAGTTCGTTAATTTCTAGCAAAGCTTTAATCAAAGTAAAACGCTAAGTGCTTCATATTTCAAAGGCTATGTTATCTGACTACTGGATGTATAAAGTATAAAAATGTTGTTACAGTACAAACAATGAAGCGCATACAAGCTAACGTTATTTATTTTTCACCCTTTGAGCAGTCTGCCTAAAACAAAAGACTTTATCTCATGAGCGCTGTTGGAAAAAAATCTTGCATTTTATAATTTCGGTTTTCCGCTGTCAAAAACACAAATGAATAGATCACAGCAAAACAATGACAATTTTTCAAAGAAGTGTGCTACAAAAGAAAATCCCTAAAGAATTGTCAAACCCACGCAATAGCAAACTAAAAAATACAAAAAAAAAAAACAAGTACATAGTACTGAAAGCTGGCGATGTCATTAACAGACTGTCGGTAACTATAGCTCATGCAGTAGCTATGTATGTACATATGTTTCTGTGCTTGTTGAAATTGTGAATTTTTAATGCAAATTGCGACTAAAATTAAAATTGCTTATGTGGACTTATTAACCTATCTACAGTCATGGGTCATAAACATAGAAACGACAGTTCATATTGCATAAACATACATACATACTCGTTAGGCTTAGAGAATGCCTAGGGCAGCACAAACTCAGTTTAAACTTGTTACAAAAATTATGGAAAACAATTTAGAAATACCATTGAAGGCATTTACTTTGCATTAAAGTTATTAAATGCAGGACAGTCACTGCATGAATTAATTTCTAAGGAAGAGGCGAATGCACGTAACAAGTCGCTCGAGTTCGCCTGTAACAAGCGCTCTTAAGCCGAATATAATTGTGCGAAGATGTAAGCCCGTATACACATACATACATACGTAGTAAGTATCCAGTCGGAAATGGTCATATGTAGCCACGTGCACTGGAATGCATCGACTTTTTGATTTGTTTGTAGCTTTAAAACAACACATCATCCCTTCCATTGCACTATGGGTATTTTGATCAGATTTTGTGGCAAAAAGTCGTTGCTCGTACTTACAAAAATAAACTTTCTGCCTAACTGCTTAGCGGGTGGCCAAAGTCGTTGTATGTAAGCGAAATATTAGAATTGTTTTTATGTTCTATTTTTTACTACTTTTTTCGAACAGCCATGGTTGAATAAATAATTATCGAAAAAATGTACATAAATTTTGAAAATTCAGAAAAATTTAGGTAATTTTAAGATATTTAACTGGTGTTATTTTTATTTCTCTTTTAGAGAAAAATGCATACTTCTGACATAACCATTAATTAATTTTTATTTGTTAAAAATGAAATATGAAAAAGCTTTTTAAGTTGTGCGCCGTAAAGAGAGAAAACAAAGAGCTTTTTACAATTTTGTTGCTGCAAAGGCAGCTCCTTTTAACTTTTCAACCGAAAAATTTGGAAATTCATTACTTTCAGATTTTCAACTGAAATTAATATAATTTGGCAATATTTTTTCAAAAATATCCACGATATAAATAGCTTTTATAACTAAGTAGAATTTTTATTTTTTGATATAAATATTTAGAAAAAAAACTGCATTCAAACTTTTTCAATATAACCGCAAATAAAAAAGTGACCCCTTTAGACCCCACGGGATTTTGTTTTGCAGAAATGTGGAAAATCATATGCCAATCAATAAAAAAAAATGTTTTTTGAGTACCCTCATGCTGCTTGGTCATAGATAATTTTTGCCACAAAAATGGTTCAAATTACCCACAGTGATTTGCTATAGAATGCAACAATTCGGTTATCTCAATTATATGGCTACAAATCTTCGTCTACACATTACCCACTTGCCTACATTGCGATGCTTATTTTCATACAATCGTATTCGTTAATCTCTTCGTGTTGGAAAAAGGTAATCCATTCCCCATTTTATTATTTGGTATTCAGTAAGCTGTCTCACGTCGCTAGTGTAAAAAAAATCACTAATTTGTCAGCTGGCTATAAACAGGAAATATTTGTTAAAAATTAATTAACTAATTTAAAAAAATCTGCTGTCCGTGGACTCGAATCTCTGATCTTTGGCTTGTCACGCTACAGCTTTGCTCGAGCGATTATTACGGTTGTTGGAGCACCACGAACAAAATGACATATTTACCACACATTTTTGTTGCACTTCTTGCGACTTCCTCTTACTGAATACCCAGTTCCTGTCAAGCCAAAAAAAGAGTCAAACACTCACTATAATTGAGAGTTAGCTTTGTGAGGATAAGGGGATCCCATGACTAGCTGCGGTTTATCCAGAAAGACTACACTCTTTTTTTTTCTCGGTGGCTGCCTTTCCTGACCACTCCTCAGAGGTCAGGCATTCCCCAAGCATAATTAAACTTACTATCTAATATGTATAGATCGGATTTTTATGTATGTATGTTATGTTTTTGTGCATGTGTCAAAAATTATAAATTTTGCATTAATACACTTTTGAAGAATGTGTGTCATAAAAGTCCAACTGAGCAAACAGGCCAGCAAGCTCTGCTAATGCGTTGTTATCCTTTCTCGCGGCATCAAATGTTTTTTTGTCAAAAACAAAAACGTAGCACTCTGGTTGCATCGAAAAATGAGAAAAACACAATGTCCATACATACATACATAAATATGTATGTACATACAACATAACAACATAAATCCCATTGTACAGTGAGTACTTTGTTCACACACAATTTAACGTCACCTAACCATTATTCATGCACCTCTTTGGCAGTAGCGCAGTAGATTTATGCTGACATTTGACCCGCAACGGAGGTTAACTGTCACACATCACACGTACCTTAAGTGCTGCATCTTTATGTGCGCTCAGTTGTGGGGGTTTTTCCTCTTCTCGACAGCCTAGTGGTTGAGGCATGCTTCTTGTGGATTACGAGCTACATAGACAAGTGTTGGTGTGGAAAAGTATGTATGTGTGTAGTTAAATCATGCGCTGTGACAGATTTTAATGATTCATCTTTTTTCTTTTTATTTCTTTTATTTCTTGCTAGTGACGAATGAATTAATTTTGCAAGAAATGTCAACGAGTACATATTGTGGTAAACACAATGTTGCTACTAGCGTGCAATAGTTACACGCTATTATACTTTTAAGGCGCATACTTTTGTTAACAGCATTCATTTGTAGCGTGTTTTCACTCAAAGTACGTAATCGTCTAGTTTTGAATTGCGCTTTTTTTTGGCGCGCTGCTGCCTTAAGTGCCTTTTTGTTATATTTAGCGGGAGGCAAAGTTTATTTATACTTCTCGTTTTTTTGGAGTAGATAATGAAAATGTTTAGATCTGAAATAAATATACATACGTATGTGTATATAAGTATAGAGGAAACTAAAAGAGCTGGTAAACAAGTACACATTCACAGCTTTAATGACTTAAGATGCTGTTAATTACTTCCGCGCGTTAACTTGATATACATACATCACCTTGAATGAGTGGTGGTTCGGATAGCATTAACCTTTGCAGTTTTTCTTGGTACATCCACGAAACGTTACATAGTTACATAGGTATGCATAGGTACATATGTATGTATGTATATATGGGTATGGAATATTAGTAGGTAGGTGCTGTCATTAGTGATAAGCTTATGAAAAAAGTGTAAAGATTAAAATACGTGCATACTTCCACTATTTACATTGCCGTCGACGTGTGAATAGCGCACTCTTTTGATGCTCAGTACTGACAGTTTTCATACATTTTTTATAAAAATATACCGTGTAAATCCGGGTTTGAAACTTTGCACAAAAGTTTAAACTTAAAAACCTAAGTTTCTTAAAAATGGCGTTGATTTTTTTTTACGTGTTACGCATTTTCTAATATGGCAAGTATGAACGCCTATTTTTTATATGAAAAAAAAACTGCCTCGGCAAAAATTCTCACCTTATTATCTGCTCTATTGATCCTACCTGTTTAATATGCCTTGATTATACTTAATTTGAATTAATTATGTATATTAATGAAGTTTGCAATTTTTATGAAAATATGATAATCAGTTTTATATACAGTATACCACTAAAATCTTCGTATAGCGCTCTGTTTAAACTTTGTTGCCGAAAACAGAGCTAAGTGTGAAATTAAAAAACAAAAAGTTTGAATTTAGATATTTTTAGTAAACATTTACATTTTAGACATATTCAAATTCCAATTTATTTTTTTAAATCTGCATGTAGTTATTAGCTCTAAAAGAAAAAAAAAACGATGATATTCTTCCAATAAAGACTTCGTACACTTGTGTTTTCAATATCGCTTATGCCACTTGTCGTTGAAAATCGTTCATCTCTAATAATGATGTTTCAAAAGTAATGCCGAATTTCCACTAGGCATTGAAATGACGAAAAATGTGTGCCACTTAAAAAAAATGCCTTGCCGAAACGAATTAATTGACAATTTTACTTAACGTAATGGCACAGATATATTTTAAGGCCCAACTTTGTCATACAAATTTTTTATTTTATTTATTTTTTAAATGTAACTTATGCCCAACTGATTGCAATTTTGGAAATTTTATTAATTTAAAGGTTCCTCAGAAAATTTTTGCATAGCTGAAATCGAAAGATATTAAAGAGTGCTTCATAAATGGCGAATTTAGTGCTAAAAACTTAAAGCGCATAAAACTTTCAACAGCTGTAATTAAAAAAGTAATTAAAAAATAAAAAATAATTTAAAAAATATTAGTTAAGAAATCGTTAAACATCATCAATCATGATTGACTGGGTGTCAATCGTGCGACATTCGCGTCGACGCTTTTCTAATTACGTCGGTGCGCGTTCGCCGGTGCGTATACGTCGTCGAAGAAGGCAGTTGGTGGCGCCACCGGCAGCAGCAGCACCAGCAGCAGCCACAGCACAAACACCAACAACTGGCAAGCATGCGTGCAACAGTGCAACAACACCGGTCGGTGGAGCAAAGACGCCCACCACTAGTAGCGGGGCGAGCAATAGTGGTCAAAAGGGTAACAGCAGCAGCAATGGTGGCGGCGGTGCTCAGTATGCCTGCTGCTGCGCTAATGTAAGTGTGTGGATAGCGGGAATTATAAGGCTATGGAAGCGTAATGATGCGCGCTAGAAATCTATCTACAAATATATATCTATGTAAATTTTAATGCATACTTATAGATATTTTAGTTCAAAATATGGTAACGCTGGCATGCATAAGAAGCATTTTCCATTTATAAATTTTAAATACATATTCTTCCTATAAACATTTTCTACTTTTACATAATAACTTACTAACTGTGAGTATTAACGCAACTTGACGTCTCCTTTTCTCTTCNCAACTGAAGGTGTCAGCGTCAATGTTGCCAAGGCGGCTCGTTCACCTGAAGCGGCGTCCCAGCATAATCGCCAACAGCAGCCTGGTAGTGCTAATGTGGACACTGCAAGCAGCGAAGCTGTAAGTGCTAATGTCTACAATAATAACAGCATTAATAAACAATACAATAACAACAACAGCACAAGCTCAGGCGTTTGTGTGTCGCCTATTTATCATTTTAATTGCCTGCAAATGGGTAATTGATATGTACCCACCTACAAATTTTTCGCTTGCTTGCATTTACCCCTTCTGGATTTAAACGCCTAATTAATAACATCGCTACAAACACTTTGCATCTAATTTTTGATTTGCTTTTCCGCAGCGAATTACACCAATTTGCCCATAGTTGGTGAATTATTTCAATTAGTTTTTCCCCCCCTTTACTCAAATCGAGTACATTCTCACAGTTAACCTCAAACTACATTTTATTTCTAAAATTCGTAACAGTCTCGTTTTATTTATTTCACGCGCAAACTGGCTCCTATAGGAAATGTCAACATTACTTCCTTTTCGCCTTTCTAAAGCAGGGCGCACGTAGCACCTCTTCCACCAGCGTGCCTGCCCTATGTATGTACATAAATACATACTATGTACATTAGATCGTACCAGAAAAAAAAGTTCACCGTAAATCGAAAGTATTTTTACAAGGCAATTTGGAAAACAATTTTTTTTTGTGAAACTTAGGGGTCGCCAAATGGGACTACAGTGACCTAAAGATAGTAAAAACGGACTACCCAATTTCAACAAAAGGCGATTACGCAGATTCATAGGACAATTTAAAAAATATATTGGAAAAAATATAGATTTTGTCGCAAGTAACTTAAATTAATTTTGTCACTATTGTGGATCAAATATTTTGATAACAGTTCTTTATATATTCGTGGTCAAGCATTACTTTAAATTTGTATATACATATGTATGAGCAAATCTCATGAGTTGCTAAATTTTTCGACAAAAAACGTGTTTTTGGTAGAAAATGGTGGCACACCCATCTTAAACAATGCATTATCTTCTGTTCAGCGTAAAGAATAAGATTACATCGCGAAATTGTATTTACATTAAATTTAAAAAAAAAGATATACGAAAACAAGTAATTTTTAAGCAAAAAAACAAAACCGACTTCAATTCTCATATAAAAATTTAAGACTATCATTAATCTCTTCATCATCCAATGAACGGATTTAAACCAAATAAGAAAGGGACCACCTGTGAGGTAACACCTTTGCTTTAAAAAAATTATATAAATCGGTTGACGTGGTACATTCAAAAAAAAAAAAAAAAAAAAAAAAAAAAAAA